ATGTTCAGGATCATTCTAAGGCAAATGTTTATGAAGGTCTGTACTTTATGCGTAATGCTCGCTGTTGTTCTCCAAGTTTCGGCTGTATAGAGTAGGACAGGTTTGACATTTGTGTTGAAAATTCTGACTTTGTTTGATGACTCAGCTCCTTTGACTCACATATTTTATATAAAATACCACAAAGGCTGGCTTAGCCTTTCCAATTCTACCCAGACATCCGCTTCGGATCCACCATTAAAATCAATGGTGCTGCCTAGTATGTGAAAGTCTCCACTTCTTCCAGTGCATAACCTACCAAAGAGAAATGCTCTTGGTTGGATGAGTTTACCTTTATGATCTTTGTCTTGCTTTTATTTATATAAATAAAAGCAAGATTCATCGGCAACATCGATTTTTACCCCACACCCCGATGAAAATGATCGCAAATTTTCTTTTTGACGATGGATACACTTCCTAGAGGCGCATATAATATTAGTGTTAACATGGGGGCCAAATATTTTGGCTGCTCTCCCTTTCACGATACAAACTCTGCAGCTGCCCGAAAACGGTGCACCTCCATATTTAAGAAAAACTGAGAACTCAGGAACAACCTCATCCTCCCTCTTTCTATGCCACTGGAAGGGGCGTAGCTAGAGTGTTTGGCGTCAGGGGTGTGATTTATTTTTACGCCCCCCCCCCTCCCCCGTAACACTGAAACGAATTATTTTACTTTAAGACCACCAAAGCTCCTTTTGGTTCCCCCTCTAGTCTGGCGCGCCGGGGCGTATGTCCCACCTGTCATCCCTTAGCTACGCCTCTGGCTACTGGCAACTGTCACTGCCCCGGGGGGGGGGGGGGGGGTCTNAAGATGTGTGTAATTTTACTACTGAAAAATAAAATTCCGACACAGGTTCAGATGCTAGGTAGATAACTAAATGCATCATCTCCCCCCACTGTATATTCTCATTCTCTTTAATTATAATATATAAATATCTCAACGTAAATTTATATATAATTAATTCACACATTCCCTACCCCACCCCCCCCCCCAACCCCACTACTGTGTGTGGATACAAAGGTGAAGAATCTGAGCACAACAAAGAAAAGCGAGCAGTCTGTTATCCTATTATTTCTGAGATGGCGTGTCTGACCGGAAATTGCAGCCAGGTGAACAGTTGATTCAACCCTACATAAACAATGGCTACGTCTTGACCAGTGGTCACTATGGGGCTCCGGTCGTGTCACCCGTCTGTAAACAGGAAGCTGGTCCGCTCCTTTGAGGCTCCTGGGATATTTTTCTCGTTTCCGTTTTATGGAAGCGCGTATCGATTCGAGTTCTTCCTCATAATTTAAGATAGAGAGCCACATTAAAACTAACGATGCCTTTAACAAAAATAAGGGGGTAGGGGGAAAAGGGGGGGGGGGAGGGTAATAGCAAGAGCGGGGTCAGTGTTGTGCCGAGAACACTAGGCGTCCACGGCAAGAACTCAATGTGCACCCTATCAACCCTAAAAGAAACCTTTTTTTTTCTTTATTGTATAAGTTTTATGGAAGTTTATACCGAACTTTTAGGCAGACCGGTTTTCTGAACCCGTTTTCGAACAGGTTAATCATTCCAGGATCGGCCAAGTGAGCCATTTAATGAAGTGTAGATAGCTACTCCATCGTCTCGCGAAGACGGAAGGATGCCATATATAAATACGTGATCAAGCAATTTGACATGCTGTATCACATGTTCGCGGACGTTACACAACTTCATCAATCCATGATCCCCTCTCAGTTCCCTCAACTTCTTAGTACGACACAGAAGACAGTGGAGTCAGTTAAGCACTGGATGACCATAAACAAGCTCAAATTGAATGATGGAAAGACTGAGCTGATTCCCATTGCCCCATTATTGTTACATTCTCAACACGCTTTTCATTGACTCCACTTACTGACATTACTATGATTTCAGGGTAAATCCTAGATGGAGGCGGGGGAGGGAATTGACTAATTGACTTGGTCCACCACGAAGCACCGGGTTTGTAGCATACAAAACGATTTGGAAAGGTTCAAGTTGTTCAGGGAGCTAGAGCTTTATCCTAGGACGAAACTTCTGTGCTGTTCGGTTTTCTTTAATTACAAAGTAATTACAAATTTTTTGCATCCGTCGAATAAATTAATAAGTATCTGGGAAAAGTTGATTAATAAAGATGGATATAATACACTTCCGTCTCTGGATATAGCCATCCCATTTTACACTCAAGCATCAAACGAATGGTCAATTTTTTAATATTTTTTTTTTAATTTGGAACTTTTTATTCTGAACACACACATTGCAACCGTTAAATACTTTTGGTAAAAAATGATATATCTTTCTATTTATATGAAAAATTATTTCTGAAATTATCGCTACACCGCGCCTCAGTGCCCTACACTGAAACTCAAAACACTACAAAAATATAGCCGTATAGCTTTATGCTGTTCGTTTTTTAATCATGCCGCACTAGTTTGAAAAAAAAAAGGGGGGGGGGGGCATATATTTATGTAAGAACTTAAAAAGAAGAAGAGTTCTTTCTTTGTTTCTATCTACCCAAGCGTTTCTAGCACTTCATTCGATTTCTCGCCAGCTCTTCCTGGCAAAATGTTTATGAGGGAACAGCTTGTCACAGGCATTATCGTCACTTCAGTCCCATCGCTGCAACGTCAAGGCCACACGTTGAATAGATGATGGTTGGAACATTCCATAGAAATAGAACACTTCATGTATTATATAAGAAGAGAATAAAACGTGTTAAGTGTTTGTATCGTAAGTGGTGGTGTGTGATAGTAGTGTGCGTCATTTGAGGGAGTTGGCGGATGTTGTGTGATAGTAGTGTACGTCACTTGAGGGAGTTGGTCGATGATGTGTGATAGTGGTGTACGTCACTTGAGAGTTGGCGGATGTTGTGTGATAGTGATAGTAGTGTACGTCACTTGAGGGAGTTGGTCGATGTTGTGTGTAATAGTAGTGTACGTCATTTCGGAAAGTCAACAGATATGATGGTGATGTCTGATAGTAGTGTACATCATTTCAGGAAGTCAGCAAATGTGATGGTGTGTGATAGTAGTGTACACCATTTCAGGAAGGCAGCAAATGTGATGGTGTGTGATAGTAGTGTACATCATTTCAGGAAGTCGGCAAATGTTGTGGTGGTGTGTGATAGTAGTGTACGTCATTTCAGGAAGTTAGCAAATGTTGGTGGTGTGTGATAGTAGTATAGTAGTGTAAATCATTTCAGGAAGTTAGCAGATGTTGTGAGATAGTAGTGTACGTCATTTCAGGAAGTTAGCAGATGTGATGGTATGATAGTAGTGTACATCATTTCAGGAAGTTAGCAGATGTGGTGGTATGATTAGTAGTGTACATCATTTCAGGAAGTTAGCATACGTTGTGGTGGTGTGTGTGATAGTAGTATTAGTAGTGTAAATCATTTCAGGAAGTTAGCAGATGTGAGATAGAAGTGTACGTCATTTCAGGAAGTTAGCAGATGTGATGGTATGATAGTAGTGTACATCATTTCAGGAAGTTAGCATATGTTGTGAGCGTATATCACTACTGTTGTGGTGTGTGTGATCGTAGTGTACATCATTTCAGGAAGTTAGCATACATTGTGGTGGTGTGTGATAGTAGTGTACATCATTTCAGGAAGTTAGCATATGTTGTGGTGGTGTGTGATAGTAGTGTACATCATTTTAGGAAGTTTGCAATGTGGTGGTGTGTGATAGTAGTGTACATCATTTTAGGAAGTTTGCAATGTGGTGGTGTGTGATAGTAGTGTACATCATTTTAGGACGTTTGCAATGTGGTGGTGTGTGATAGTAGTGTACATCGTTTTAGGAAGTTTGCAATGTGGTGGTGTGTGATAGTAGTGTACATCATTTTAGGAAGTTTGCAATGTGGTGGTGTGTGATAGTAGTGTACATCATTTTAGGACGGTTCCAATGTGGTGGTGTGTGATAGTAGTGTACATCGTTTTAGGAAGTTTGCAATGTGGTGGTGTGTGATAGTAGTGTACATCATTTTAGGAAGTTTGCAATGTGGTGGTGTGTGATAGTAGTGTACATCATTTTAGGACGGTTCCAATGTGGTGGTGTGTGATAGTAGTGTACATCGTTTTAGGAAGTTTGCAATGTGGTGGTGTGTGATAGTAGTGTACATCATTTTAGGAAGTTTGCAATGTGGTGGTGTGTGATAGTAGTGTACATCATTTTAGGAAGTTTGCAATGTGGTGGTGTGTGATAGTAGTGTACATCGTTTTAGGAAGTTTGCAATGGGGTGGTGTGTGATAGTAGTGTACATCATTTTAGGAAGTTTGCAATGTGGTGGTGTGTGATAGTAGTGTACATCATTTTAGGAAGTTTGCAATGTGGTGGTGTGTGATAGTAGTGTACATTGTTTTAGGAAGTTTGCAATGTGGTGGTGTGCGATAGTAGTGTACATCATTTTAGGAAGTTTGCAATGTGGTGGTGTGTGATGGTAACAGATGTAAATGGATTTTCAAAAAATTGTTATTATATGATCAGTTTAAAAAATAAAACAAACCTGATCTAGATTCTCTCAGACTCCATGCAGGGTTCAACATTTTTTCAAAGAAACAAATCCTGTTTGAGGCATTTTCCTATTGGTGGGTTCTCCAATCCAGGTCATAAGTAGATCCACCAGTGGCCATGCCTGATAAGCTTCGCCCCCCCCCTCCCCCCCAACCTCCCCTTTCCCAACCACGGTTTGGAGGTAAGTTACCAAAGTAGTGAATTAAAATCAAGCTTTAAGTTGTTTTTTTTTTAAATTAATTTCAATTTTAATGGAAAAGTAAGTAATTTGAGCAACAGTTTGACCCATCTCTACTATAACACATGTTGTTGACCAATATATAAAACCTTAGTTTGGAAGTATAAAATTACATTTTTTTAAAATAAACATCAGTTAGACAGAACACAACAAGGAAAAAGATTTGATTAAATAAGATGAAAACTATGGCATTTAAATATTTATTTATTTACTTTTAAATGCTGCAAGAAACTAGCATAAAAATTACACCTGAAATAATAATAAGAACAAAATATTAACTTTCATAAATTTAAAAACCTTGCTCACTGTTGTGAACATAAGCAATACGTTACTGGTCCCTGCAACTTGAGCCACACAACAGTCTCTCAGTCTGTTTGCCCCACACTAAATTAAATTAGTTAAAGCGGATACCCTACTGATTTTGCTCTAAAAATTTGAAAAATAGCAAAAAATTAATACTTCCCCCATTTTTGTGGTGGTAAAGCATTGTTTCCTGCAACTCAATAAAATCACATTAATAACAATCCTTTTTATAAACTGATGTCCCAGTAATGCTGATATTCAACTCATTAATGTCATGTATAAACTATCAACAATTGCACCATACTTTTTATTTGAGAATATGCACACACAAATTCTAGCATAATTCTACTTCCACTTTAAATCCCTTTTACTTTAAATATCATTGTTCCCAGAAATTTACCGTGACACTTATAAATCTTTTAGACACTAGAGTAATGATTCAGTGATGCTCAAGCTGGGGTCAACACATTCATTATGAAGGAGCTTGGATTACATTACGTCTATTTTGAAATTTAAGTTCAATTAAATATGTTGGAGCAGAGTAGGATAAAGAGTTATTTGAATGTGATTCGTCTGAAATTAAATGATTAGGGAACCACTATGTAGTTGGAAAATTATTTTTTCAACACATCCTGAAGTTAGGAGGAAATGTGTGGAAATTCCTTTTAATGGTTAATTAAATACCGGTTAAATGTAAATTATACCACTTATTCAACAAAGAACTTCTAATAGAATGTCCCCTTTTAACTTTAAAAAATTTAACATTTTAATATTAATAGTGAGCAAAATTATAATAAAGAATGTTATTCAGGTCTCTCTAATTCTTCAAGAGGTCAGATAAATTTATGATTTATCTTTGTACCGGTACTTTACATTAAGTGATGGAGAATTTTAGCCTGTTTCATGCTGAGGCTGTCCAATGTTATTAAACAGCAAATATTCCCTTTAAATCAGGCAAAATTAAAAAAGTATAGCCCTATCATGCATTCTCTTGCAGCTGTCTCAACAACAAACGTCTCCGTTTCTCTAGTTCTCCTTCACTCATCTCACTATCAGAGCTCTCCCACTGGCTAGCTGATGTGTGCTAAGAAAGAGAAAAGTTATGCCTAAAGCTGGTTTACAGACAGTCTACTAACTTTATGATGGAGGTGGCAAAGGTAGGCAAAATTTAAAAACATGAATAGAAAAACAGTTTTACATTTGTACAATTAGAATGCAAGAAGTCAATTCCAGGAAATATAAAGTTATTTCTTTTAATTCCTTTTTCAGACACATTCCTATTCAGACGTGTTAAGTTTGTAATTATTTCATTTTCCAGTATGGTAATAATGACTAATAAAAAATATAAGGAGTTCAATAGAATTAGCATTCTTCATATCGGTACTAATAATGTAAATAACCTAGTATACCATTACAATCAAACATTAATGAATTTCATTGCATAACACTAATGAAATTGAAAGAATCAATTATTGCAACTTTAACAATTTTGAAAAAAGATTTTAAAATGGCAATTGGGTGCACTTGAAAAAAAATTTAAGTGCATGTGGACAAAGAAAGAATAGAAAAAAGCATTATACAAACATTTCTAGCAACTTTTATTTATAACTGAGTGTTTACAAAAGTGTAAGAGGCACAGTAATATTTCATTTTATATTCTTACATAAAGGCAATTAAAAATAAATGCATTTATTTACATATTATTATACTGCCAATAGTTGTATTTGTTGCATAAATTAAAAGGAAAATAACAATGGTAGATAACTCAATTAAATTTTATTTTTTATATTGTACAAATTGAAAACGCAACTCTCAAACTAGAAAAATTCCTGTTTTTTTAACAATGACTTGCAACAAAAATTGCGTGAATTTGTTTCTTGTGTAATATTAATACTCTCTATTTCAAATTGCATGGGTAACATTTCATTATCTTATTTTAATTCCATGAAGAAGAAAGCCATGCTAATCATTGGTCATGCTAAGATATTTACCTTTGAACCTCTTTCCTTATCTCTTTTTGATATTTGTTCAGGAGAATCTCTTCTTTTCCTGGGGGGCTTGGAGGAGCTTCTGCGATCTCTTTCAGCGTCAGATACATCTGATCTGGAGGCCTAAAATATTTCATTACATAAAAATGACTCATACAGTAATACAAACTACGGTTGTTTTTTTGTCTTAAGTATTAATCTTTACTGTCTTTTATTTAGGGTAACCATAGACTAAATTAAACTATTATGACTATATTTTATAACCAAAACACTAATATATTTTGATAAAATTAATATGCAGGAGACCTAGTTACCCTGGAATTCCCAATATAGTACAATATGGTCTCAGAATAGTTCTTTACAATCTCAAAATCGTAAATGTAAATGTAAATAAAAAAACATATGCATATAATACATATTTGCATTGTATGTCTAATAAAGGTCACTTCTCAAAGTAGATGACCAATTTTTATATATTTATATACAGTGCATTATTACAAATAAAAAGGTGCCCGTCATTTGCCACTTTGAAAGCTGACGATGTGGTGGGTGGGGGCTGTGTGGAAATTGATGACAACCGCTGAAGTCACCAGAAAAAAATTGGGGCTGGGATTTGGGAAGGAGGCTGAGCCCAGCTGAGTTAAAATAAATACTTTTTATTTTAGTAGTTACTGAATAGTCAATTGACTTATTATTTATTGCCATCTATCTTTTTTTTATCAGTCCAGTTCAGACTGGAACAAAGAAATGACACATACCAATCACAATAAATTTATGTTTCAAATGTGCTTTTATGTAAATATTGCTAATTAAATGAAGAAAGAAGTTCATTTGTGATACATCTGACGGGCCACAATATTTAACATGCCTGGCCACGGGTTCCCCACCCCAGCAGAAGGAAATAAAAGTGTTGGTGTATTAAAATTCTACAGCTGCTTAGTGACTTCTAGATAAATTTTAAATGCTGCTTACTAGATCTTATAAAATCTGTCATCATCTAACACTGCTGTGCAGAAAATTTGGGAATGCATTTTTTTGTAAATCCATAGTTTTCTTAATTTTTACAATGGTTCAGCCAAAGAGCGAAATAATTACAACACCAAAGCAAACATAAGCGAATGTTTAATAAATTTGTCACTAGGGTGAATATGCTAAATATTACTGTTGCTGTATCTAGCAAATTCATTATGAAAACACAAAGCAACAATTTGATGATCATAAGAATTGTGGTAGTGTGAAGTTATAGACTTCAAAATTAGACACTGCCCCTACCACTCCCATGGGCACCCTTATGTTTACCAGTCCACACCCTCCCCTTTTCCCTTCTCACTGCGTACATAAAATAATAATGGATGGACTTCATATTTCTTTACCCATTCACAGCCCAGTATAGAAATAAGATATAACTAACAATAGAAAATATTGTATTTATTTTTTAACCCGGCCTCGTAAAATTGTACTTTTGACAGGTCTCGGAGTACATCCATAAAAGTCATCTCATAATTGTACAGTGTATGCCAAAATGGTAATAGTAAATAATTCTGATGCAGCCACCAGTACTTACTGATCTTGATGTATGTTTCTTTTTCTTTGATCTTTTTTTGTGTTTTTTGGAACCCCTGTCATCATCATCTAACAAGAATAAAAGTTACTCCTTTACTTTTTTTAATGATTCAATAAATGTTTATTCAACATCTTAAGTCTAATCTTAAGGTAAGGTTAAAATTATGCAAAATTTACCTCGAGATCTTCCAGAGTCTGATCCTTGGCTTGGTGACCGAGAAGCAGAATAACGCTTTTTCTTTTTTGATGATCGGTGGCGTCCATCTTCTTCAGATTCAGACTACAACAGAAATTCAAAGAACTAATTAATTAAGTGGGAAAAAAATTACCATAAAATAAATTTCTTGATTTATAATCAGAGAATTAAAAATTATGGGACCTTATTACATTATGGGTATAGCTAATAATTTGTTCTTAAAAGTCATTAAGGCCCTTAATAAAGGGTTTAGGACATCACTAAGAATTCAACTTTACCGAGTGTGATCGAGACCTTGATCGCCTTGACTTATGTTTCTTTGATTTTTTCTTCTTTGGATGGTAGTGAGAACAGGTTTCTTCAATGGCTATCAAATGCTCTTTGAAAAGCCTAATTCTCTCCGCTTCCAGGGTAATGTTTTCAAATGCTTGGTCATGTTCTATTTTAGGTCGAATCTGAACACAAATCCATATGCATTTATTTTTAATTATCCATTTAATGGCCAAAAAAAAAACAAACGTAGCAGCCAAGAGTTTCTTCATTGACTATATATTATACATTTTACCAGACAAATTTTGATATGAAAATATTTGTTTAGCAAGCAATAATTTAAAAATTGTATAAAGTCAGATTTCATCAAAAATAATAATAAAGCTACAACTGGTAAACTTACATCATCCCATTTTGTGTCTAAATCTATATTATGTTTAGCCAATAAAGTTTTGAATGCAGATTCTAGTTTCTTGAGCTGCAGAAAAATGATAACGAAATATTTCAAGGCAAAGTAATTATTTGTGATTGAACAACAGCTACTAATTTATAAAGTACCGTACAGGTAAATGAAGTTTTGATCACGAAAAAATGCCAGCAATCAAATTTTGATAAAGCAAAATATTTTCATATTCCAACAGTTTATAAATACATTAATAATAATTGGGAAGTCCTATAATATTAATGTCAAATGAATTATTCCAATAAGTCGTTTTAAAAAATTCAACAAAGAGTAGCGTAAGATTATGTGAACAAACAAACCCTTCTGGCTTCCTCCTTTAGTCTCTCTTTCTCTCTTGCCTCAGCCTTTTCTAACAACTAGATAAAGAAAGAAGAAAAAGACATTTTATATGCTGAATTGTTTTAAAATGAAGATTTACAAAGGGAAGTAAATTTAATGTATGAAAGAATAAAATGCTCCTCATCAATAACAGATAAATTGAAATGTATTGCTTTGTCTAAAATTTGACTTTCACTTTACTTACGCTATTATATGTAAGTTTTATGTTTCCACTATCAAGATTAGCTGAGCGCCTATCACTCAAGATGGCATTACTGAAACTCTCATATGTTGTTGAAATTTCAATGTAGAATCCTTTGTCCTGTGTACGAAAAATTAAATATAATTAAATAATTCTGGCTTCAAAACAGAAAATATAAAATATATTAAAAATTCAATCTGGCTAACATATCTTTTATATCCTCAAAAGACAATTAAGTACCTTTATTAAAATGTGTTTACCTTAAGGATTTCTTTGACAATTTTCTTTTCATCATGAAACCGAGACTTAAGATCCTCCACATAAAATTTGAACAAATCTAATGGAGTAGAGCCAGGCTGACCCAGCATATTCCCAAACCTCATGTCCTGGCTGATGATTGGGAAAAGGTCCATCCAAAGAGACATGGAGTTCAGCTTGCCTTGATGGTGAAGTTCATCTAGTAATACCTAAATAAACAGTTAGTAGAAAATAGGAAGTTATTGCAAAAATACACTTTAATTTTCCAATAATTATCAGCAAAAAGCATATAAAGCTGCTAGTTACAATAATAGAATTGTGTTTTATTATTAAACACATTGATGTATTATATTCTGAGTAACAAAACAAATATAATTATTTCTAGCTTGTCTGACATACTCATGTATAATTTTCCCCATTGCAATATTTAATTTTTAACACTTTTTCTGAAACTTTAACAATTAAAAACATCTAACAATTTATCTCAAACACTGCTTAGGGCTTACAATAAAACTCTCTCTGTTTTTTCTCTGGTTTCTCTTTATTCTTCTCCTCTCTCTTTCTTTTTCATCATCGTTCTCTTGCTCCAGCATTCGAATATGTTCTTCAAAACAAACAAGAGCGTCTTCCTTGTCCATATCTAAATTTAAAATCATGAAAACATTCATTTAGTTTTTCAATTCATTCTTTCTTTTCCACTATTAATTTTTTTTTTTAATTTCTGATTACTGCGGGACGGTTCTGTCCAACCCCCCAGCCAACAAACTTATTTTAAATGGTCAGTAAGAGCTTCAGAAATTTTTATGTGTGTAAAAAAAATAACATTTTCTGGTGAAAATATTTTAAAACAACTGTTGATTCAGTATTGTTGGGAAATCGCATGAGAGCGCAGGAGAAGTTGTAACATACAAAAGGGCAAGGTCACAAAAGCTAAGGTGTGGGTTGTCTTGACAAGTAGCAGTAATTTATCTTAAGCACATCTTCTCCTTCCTTCTGTTGCTTCAACAGGGAAGGCGTCACAGGGTGTTGGGCATAATCACTAACTTCGTTGAGAAAGATAAATTGGGAAACCAAAAGTAGCTAAACAGGTGAGCACTGCGAGTTAACGTCTGCACCTTGAAGGATGATAATAATGACAGGAAAGTTTTCTGGTAAGAGTACCGGTAATCTAGATGGGAGTGGGAGTACTAAAATTTTAGTTAGAGCCATTCAATTGGGGAGTTAATGTGAGAGACAGTAGAAATGATTCTTAAAAGTATTTTTTATTTAACGAACATAAGAATGCATGTCCAAATGAATTATAGATGACATGTTTTATCTCATGAATTTCCACAAATATGGAAATGTAAAAAAATTATTATCATGTTTTTGGAAGCACCTACGTCAGTGAAGCTGAATTTTTTGTAATGACCAACATAATAAAAGTCCAAAAAATGTAACATTTTGTCTGGTGAACATTTAGAAAATCTAATGAGGTTAGGTGCTGCTTAAAACTACCTCAAATTTAAAAAATTGCAAGGACAATTCCCAGCCAAGCATATCATTAAAGAGGCGCTACAGTTTTTATTCACTTTATTAAAATTCTTGATGAGCAGATAATGCTCTGGGATATATGGATAAGGTAAGAAGTATTTACATATAAATTTTCTAAAAATTAAAAAAAATCTTTATTTTGAGATGTTTTGCAGATCTTGGCTTCGCTGTAAAAATAATATTTTGGCCCATGGGATGAGATGAATTTAAAATTGTGCATATCTTTTACAATCAAATAAATTAATATACCTGTAATATGGGTAAAAATATATATTATAAAAATAAATTTACTTACTTTCTAAATCTGGATCTTCAGTGAATCTAGGATTATCTAGCAACATTTGCTGAGCCTCTGACCAAGTAGTTGTATGAGTAAGATTAGGCATGCTGTCCAGAATCTCAGAAAACACTTTGATATTTCGTTTACGTAAGACTTTAGCTTCCTCCTGGAACCCCAGTTTAAGAAACTATTAAAACATGGCAAGTATATGTTAATTAAGAAAAGTGCACATGTTGATCAGAGTGGCATAAAATATTAACAAGAAGAAACATTTAAAATGTTGCTTTACATCACAAATAGAAATTTAAATAGAGAAACAAGGAACGGTTTAGTTTAGTTTATAAAAATAATTACCTTTTCTCTTTTCGCAATAAGGTGCACCACATCATCAAATAAATCTCTCCTATCTCTTTCAGAAACATTTTTCCAGGCTTCCTCTTCACCGAAGATAGTGTCTGCTTTCCTAGAAACAAATTTTTAAAATTTGTAAAAAGTAAACTAAAATGATAATTTAATATTTCCGTATGAGGTTAAATGTCATTTCTCTTTCAAAAACATTTTGAGAATATCTAAGTAATGAAGCAATTATTTTTTTCATATTTTTTTTAAATTTTGTGATCACTTAAGTGTTACCACAATACTGAACTACTGAATCCATGAAAATGTCCATAATTTTTGTTTGTTGGCTGGTATTCATTAATATTTAATTTGTAACACTTTTCTGAAACTTTAACAATTACAAAACATCTAACAATTTATCTCAATCACTGGTTTACTGTGCTCTGTTCTTTGTGATATCTTTATTTGTCCTGTGTGCTCTATGCCGAAACATCCAGATCTTTTTGTCCTTTTCTCTAATTCAAGCTTCCACATACCTTGCTTTGCTATTTCATTTATTAGGCTTGAATGCAGTCCTTTAATTATTATATGTTCATTAATATAAGGGTTTGAAAACAACTTCACAAAAACTATTCATATGATGTCAACGTATTATGAAACAACAGAAAATAACAACTGACCAATACTTGATGGACGAGTTCATCTTTTCACTATTCATTAAGAACTGCTCCAAATCTTCTTTAGCTTGTTTAGCTCGCAAACGCTGTTCTTCCTATAGTAATAAATTTTGAGGGTATAATTACTCTTTTCCATTACTGAATCATATAATGTAAGTACTAATTAGTTTTATTTTTATATAAAATAAAATAAATTCAGATATTCTAACACAAGTCAGTTTTTAAAAAAAAAAAAATTAATGAAAGAAAAAGGTTAACTTATTGGTTAACTTATTCACCTTTTCTTCCTTAGCTCTTTGAGTCTTATATTCATTAAAAGCCTGCTTCTTTTCATTGAGATGTTTTAATGCACCATATCGGGCATCATTGATAATCAACTTCATAGCACTTTCCCAACTTGCAGTTGACGGCACTTCCTAGAGAAATGAACATAAATTTCTAACTTAAAAATACAGATAAAAGAAATGGGGTTCAAATTAGACAAGAAAAAATATTTTCAGCTTAAGATATTGATTAACTTCAGCTCTTTAGTCAATACTCTAAATAATTTAAGTGACATAACATTTACTTACAATAAATTAGTATATAAGAGACATAAAACTACATTTACCTTTTCCTTGAGCAAACATTTAAAAGCTTCAATGGCCTCCTTCTTATTTTTAAAAACATAAACTTCCTTCTTTTGCGGCTCTTCTTTCTCTTCTATTCTGTGTGATAAATAGATGACGGATATGTTAAAAAAATGTTTGAAACATCAGTATCATAAGACAGCAGCCTTTCTCAAGATTTAACATACTCAACAGATATCCTGTCAAATTTTGGATTCTTTTTTTATAGAATTTAAAAAAAATTAATCATCTATATATATATAAAAATGAATGTCTATATGTATCTATGTATTCCCATATGCACTCCTACACCATTCATGGGATTGGATAAAACTTTTGTGAGTTTTTGAGCACAAGTCCAGGCATTTTTCTGAGTCATTACAACCCTTTTGAAATATTCCTTTTTGGGCCGGTGGCCCAAAATTCGTCTTTTATATGAGCTTTGTAAAATATAATTTCCATATGCACTCCTAAACCACTTATCCGAATGCGATAAAACTTAGGAGAGATACTGTTCGCATGGCCGCAGAGGTTTTTGAATTATTATAACAATTTTAAAATTTTCCGTTTTGAGCAAGGGGCCCTATGTTCATTTTTTCTTATATGAGCTATATAAATATAATTTCAAACCGTATGCCCACATACCATTCATGATATAAAACTTTGGTGAGTTTTTGTACACAAGTCCGCACATTTTTATAAGTCATTACAACCCTTTTAACATAATTCGTTTTGGGCCTAAATTCGTCTTTTCTTCTTACATAAGCTATGTAAAAATAATTTCCCTATGTGCTCCTATACCATCTATGCGACAAAACATTGTCGAGTTTTTGTGCGCACGCCCGAAAAGGTTTCTGAATTATTACAACCATTTTAAAATATTACATTTTGAGCCCAAATTCGTTTTTTTTCTTATATGAGCTATTGAAATATAATTTCAAACAGAGCTAATGTATGGGTGGATAGAATTTTAAACATAATAAGCAGGTTTCTAAAGTAATACAACCATTCTACAATATTGTGGCCGGGGGCCCTAAATTCGTTTTCCCCCTCCTTATATTAGCTATATAAATATAATTTCCGCATGCATTTCTATACCATTCATCCCATTGCGATAAAACTTTGGTGAATTCATTATCGCCCGCCCGCAAAGGTCTCTAAATTAGAACAACCATTTTAAAACATTCAGTATTGGGCCAGTGGCCCTTACTTCGTTTTTTCTTATATGAGTTATATAAATATAATATAAAAATGAACTAATGCATTGGTGGATGGACTTGTTATCAAATACAAATAGCGACATTTCAATTTGTGTGTGACATAATAAGTAGGTTTCTGAATTAGTATAACCATTATACAATATTCCGTTTGGGGGTCGGGGGCCCTAAATTTGTTTAAATTTGTTTTATATATTATGAGCTCTACAAATATTTTACAATATTCGGTGGGGGCCGGGGGCCATCAATTCCTTTTCTTTTCTTATATGAGCTATGTAAATATTATTTCAAACAGAGCTATAGCTTGGGTGGGTGGAATTTAATCAAATACAAACTGTGACATTTCAGTTTGTATGTGACATAATAAGTAGGTTTCTGAATCAGTACATGCATTTTACAATATTACGTTTGGGGACTGGGGGCCCTAAATTTGTTTACATGTACTAAAGGAGCTATATAAATATAATTTCAAACATAGCTATTGCATGGGTTGATCATTCGCTGCAAGTGTGTTGACTAAATTTTGAACATGGACAGCTGTGTGTGGCCTGCTCACGCTTCAAAAAATCTTCTAATTTATTCAAGTACGCACCAGACGGTAAAACCAAAAAAAATATTGTGTATATAAAAAGTACTTCAAAAAACTTAATTAAAACACAATCACCTTATTTCTTTGAGTGGCATTGCAACGCAGCTGGATACTCTCTAGTATATAATATAATGGGCTGGGTAATATGATACTAGTTTAAATGTCTGGTTTAAAGTCACTTAGCCGAAACTCTTAAATTACTATGTTCAGATATATATGATCTAATTCTTAACTTTGAGCAAAGTTGAAAGACCACATTAAAACCACATTCAACTTAATACACTGTTGGAAAGGTAACAAGTATTTCCTTAATTAGCTTAAACAGTGCTATATAGTGATAGAAAATTTATTGGTCAAGTTTAGCATAAGTTTGGCTTCTGCTCAGAACCTTTTATTTTAGCTGAATTCGCTTCTCTACTACTATACCAACAATTTTATTATTTGATATTATCCCCCCAGTCTGGAACTTTCATGAAAAGCAGACACTCAAATTGTTCAATCATGAAGCACATTCAAGTTTGTTAAGATAACTATCACGTAATCATCAAGAATCCTATTATTTTCTTCTACTGTTTTAGCTGGTTAGAAAAGATGAATAAATTGGCATAGCAGGCATCAGTCAACTTTTCATTTTAATAGTATTAATAGCAAATTAAGGAAGAAGTATATGGTTTTAATTAGACTTTATCTCATTTCCTTGCAACATGAAATTCATGTTAATGAATTCACCAAAAATGTCAGATAAATATGTAATCTCCTATGTGATGTTTTTAAAGTCAGCTTTTAAGCTAAGTAATTTCACAACCGGGTCAAGTCAAATAGCTTGTAAAAGTAAACTTGTCTTTTAATCGCCAAAGGAGAAATTTTCAAAAGCTTCACCATTACACATAGCTTTTTAAATTAAAGGGGTTATGCAAAATCATAAAACATGCATATAAAATAAAAATCACAAAAAAAATCTAATTGCCCAAATTCAATTAAACATAATAAGAGGAATAGATAAACATGTTGATCATCAAACAGTTTATCAAATATAAGAATACAAAATGGATACAGCCAACCTCATTTTCTTCACTCCATTGATTTAAAAACAATACTTTTATCCCAGTTATTGCCAAAATCTCTGCTTATGACAAATAGGAAGTGCCAAATGGCATTAAAAACCTTTCATGTTCACCACAGATGGAGATATTCATCTTTTATTGATATCAGACATTCAGTTAATTCCATGCTGCTAAATTTGAAAAAAAATTTTTTTACATATTGTCACAAGACAACTCAATAAGATTCTCTTCTGCAGCAATAAATTCAGATAAATGAATTAGTGCAAATAAATATTATTTATCTTATTGAAAATAACCAAACTAGGTTAAAAATGTTCTTAAAATTTAATGTCAAACATCGAGAGAAAATTCCATTGGAAGCAAAATTCATATTTTCCCCACAGTACCTAGGGCACCACGGCATACATTTTGGAAACGACTTGATTAAGACATATGTCACTATTTTATTTCCTTTTCTTTACCCCCCCCCCCACCTATTCAAGGTATTACAAGACCCTGCAAACCCCCCCCCCCCCCCACCCCCCCCCCAACNATCTCCCACAAACCTTAATCCATCATGCCTTTCAGCGCCACCAACGAGGCAATGCCCCTTTAATAACTGTTAATATAAGCCATTCATTTAAAATTTTCTATAAACTCACGCTGGTTCAGTTGGAGCATCAGGCATTTGTTGAACAGGTGCTGCTACTGTGGGAGGAGGAGGTAATTCAATAGAGGCTAATGTAGCTTGCATTGCCTGCTCAATGGCTGAAGAAGGTTCAGACCTTATCGATGAAGGACTATTGGATGGCCTGTGGTAATAAAGACTAATGATCAATTAAAATTGTAAAACATAAATTTTTAATAGTAAGTAAGAAGACATGAATATTTTGTAGAAAAGTGAACATTTATTGAAAAAAAAAGTACTTACGGTTGCACTGGTGTACTAGCCACTATAAGTGCTGAAAGGTAAAATATACACTGATGTTAATTTCAAAAGATAAACATTAACAGAGATCAAAATAAACTGTATAAAAAAAAAGAGGAAATTTCGTCAATCATAATAAAATAGGTACAAGGACAAAGCTGCTAATCAGATAGTTGTATGCTTTGCTGTCATTCCACATTTTCTCCAAAGTCAATTCATGTCATTTTTGTAAAAATCTGCCAGAATATTGTCAGCTCCAACCTTCAAGTTCTTCCAATTCTTTGGGTTTTGTCCATCTGCTTTCTTTAGTTACAGCATTATGATAATACACTTTTCCAGCATCTGATTTGTATTCTTTCCATGGGCACTGAGATAGAAGCCTCTGAAAATATGGAACAAAATCAGGGACTCAACACAAAGTTATAAAACAAACAATAGAAAATCTTTTTAATGTGGCAAAATGTTAAAACATTACACTACTACGATCTTGCAGTGAAATTTAAAACACAAAGGAGAAAATGGGCAAATATAATTCCTGTGTTAGAGACGATGATAAGCAGAAACACTTATTCTACTCTTAATATACTTTAGCTGTTAGTCTACATCTGGGAACATTTATTCAGCTTTAAGTCTATAAATATTTGATTAAATTAATATAATAGTTAACTCTACCTCTTGAGGAGTCTTTAAGTCTTCTGGTTTTTCCCAACTAGACTCTTTAGTTACACTGTTGTAGTAATAGGTTCGCCCATCTGGTGCCTTGTGTTCACCCCAAGCAGTTTTCTGAAGAACATCAGTAAGATAAAAGCATGAGAATCTTAGTATATTTTTATTAAATGAAAACATTATTTTAAAATACTGTATCTCGATAGACTGAAAATCCTGTATTTAAAAAAATACTTTTCTCGTAATTAAAAACTAGAAATAGTTTTAAACAATTTTTAACAGCTTTCAAATGATAATAATCTTAAAGCTATCTAACATACCCTTTCTTGTCCAGGAGAACTTAACATTTGCTTGTCTCCACCTGTTAACACAAGAAAAAAGACAATGAACATAAAGATATATATATGTATATTATGACTACAAGAATTTTTAACTTTTTTATTTAGTACATTAAAATTAGTTTTAAAAAACTGTTTTTTTAAATGTTTTTTTAATTTTCCATTTCTTCCAAAAACTTTATTTGTTGACATTTTAATTACTTTAGTAACACGTTAGTAGCGTTGTAGATATGACATTAAAAGATATAGAGATAATGAAAAAAAAATAATGAATTGACCTGGAAACATCTGCGGAGGAACTCCCATAGGAGTTGGAATAGTAACAGGATTGGGAGGAAAGGTCGCCAAAGGTGAAGCATTATAAAGAGGTGAGGCATGAAAACCTGTAAATAATAACTTCAGTATTTATGAGATCTGAAGAGTTCTTTTCCTTCATGGTTGTTAAAATATACAAAGAAGCTTTCTTTTCATGAGTAAGAACATGGCCCCCAATAAATTATTGTTAAATATTTTTTGTGCTTTGCGTGAATAGATAGTGGTTAATTTAATTTTAATCTAGCTTACAAATAAATACATTTTGCTTCTAATACATTACCTTAAAAATTATATGCGCCATTTTGGTCATCAAAAGAATAAAACAAGACACACCAATTACTTAATATTTGTATAATCATTTGATTTTTTAATTGGTATAATTAAGGCTGCACTATTAAGAAAACTCGCCAATCAATTTGTACCTCAGCTAATGCTGAATTAATTTCTTGATTATTTAATGCAGGCCTGCACAACTCAAAATGTAAGGCGGGCCGTAATGCATTATGAAAAACGTGCGCGGGGGCAAAAACCAAAAAGATAATTGGGGGGGGTATTAAGAAAATAATAAGAATAACGAGTTTTTCGATACCTCGCGGGCCGTATGTTGTGCAGGCCTGATTTAATCTATTGTGCTCTGTACCGTATTTAGTTATTTAAATATATATTTAATCACAGTTATAGAGCTGCTATTTTGGGCACAGAGAGAGAGAGTAACAGTAGCAGAAATTTAAAAAAAAGGGTAGGCTACACTGGGCAGGAAACTTAGAAAGTATGCCAAATGACTGAGATTTGAAAAGGATATGTAACCAAAAATCCACAGGAAAACGGCTCAAAGGCTTGGGTGGACGGATGATGTGGAAAAAGATCTACAGAAGCTGGTATCTGAGTGGAAGGAAGTGGTGAGGCAGGCCAAAAAGGGCTACATGGGCTGTAGAGCCACATCGATGGATGAGTAGAGAAAGAGTAACATTTATTATGATAGTTGGAAGAAGAAACAGTATTTAGTTGATCATTTGATTTTCAAACATTTGACCCTTGAAACTGGACCAGGAAAACAAGCCTCTGATCTTCAACATAAAGAAAGCAAGTTACCCGCAAGTTTTTTAAATGAACACAAAATATATACATTAAATTACAATCTTAGTCTGTAATGTGCAGAATAACTAGCCCATGGCATGTCACACTAATGTGGTTTGAGACATCCTAAAAACCCTAAGATATAACTATACAAAATGTTAAGAATAGGTTTTGCCATCTCAAGCTATAACAGCACAGAGAATTTTTCTTTTAAAAGCTGGTGTTGGCCATATCATTATGTCAAAAAAACTTATCAACTAATGAAAAAAGATGTGATAGCACACATTTCAAACTTGGAACATATTTGATAAAAATAATTGTTAAAAACATCAAAGAGTCAAATAAGCTATCTAGATGTATATTTAACAATTAGGTAGAATTTTTTCTGATGCCGTAAAGCCAATTAACTAATTTATCTGTTCAAAAAAGCTGAAACTAATCAATCAATAAAATCATTGATTATGCCCCCATTATATATTATATGCTGATTAATCTGTGCAACCCTAGACCAAAGTGCACAGATCATACCTGTTACAGGATCTATTACAGGTGCATTATACGGCTGTGGGGGCAATGCTGGTGGTAAAACTCCACCTGCAACCTGCAAAAGAAAATTTTTTTTTTGTAAAATACGATTAATAAATTACCCGAAGTACTGTTACCTATATGTAAATCAACATTATACTATGACACCTATCAAAATAAAGGGAAAAAAAAATTATTTTTTTTTTTCGGAATCAAAACTTCCAAACGCTTTGTTAATAAGAGCATTGTACTTATAATCACAAAAATTAATATTCTTTTAAAGTTGACTACATGGGGATTCAATTAATGATGTTTGAAGATAATTGGATGTCAAAACATCAGCATAATTTTCTTAGCCAAAATTACAAAAATGTCAAGAACAAAACAATATTCACTAAATAAAGGATATTTTTATAAACAAATACTACAAATTAGGAACCCTAAATATAACGTGTATCAGTTGCTCTTTTTTTACAAAGAATTTTGATTAAAATCAGGGGCATGACCTATCCACTGAACATCGCAGGGACCTGAAGTAGATGGCGGCGTATCAGTAGACCAGCCACGTACTTTGGGCACTGGCATAAGAGAGAGCAAGGGAGCAAACAAATTTTCTTAGACTTATTGATTTTTATACAACCACCTCTTCCAGCAGTACTGCATCAAACATCAAATGAAAGCGCTTGATTTGCGAGGCTCATATGTACACTTTATTATCTGATTCAGGGTGTAAGAATATTGGTTTTTTTTCAAATGATTTTAGGACTGTCCCGATTATCCAAGTTTTAGTCTAATGGAGCAGCCCCAAGCACCTCATGAGAAAATACTGCACCATTGCAACCAATCAAAATTTTGAGTACAGTTAATGAGTCAGTGTGGAGTAGCCATCTATCTAAAAAGATGGAGAATCATTTTAACCCTTGCTCTTTATAAAAGATCGCATTGTTTATTTCAGTTTTCAAGTTGTTATGGAAACATTTGTATGACTTCTGTCCTGTCATGAATTTAAAATTACAAATAATTACTATTTACTATTTACTATGAGCAACATATTTAAGTAAAATACTTACAGGCATTCCAAAACTAGGCATCATGGGATTAGGCATTCCCATTCCACCAGGATTTATGTTCTGTGGTTATATAAAGAATAAAGGATTTTTTATTTCATATTTTATTTTAATGTGATAAAAATGTAAAACATCTGGGTTGTCTGATCAGTCCTGGTCAAAGCTTTTTTAAAGTTCCTGCTTAACCCATGGCTCACACATTTTTTTCAAAACTAAATTCCTTACTTTTCCCCAACTGAAAAATGAATATCCCTGACTATGTAAAATTTAGCTTTGTCAACATTATTGCTACAGATTTTCAAGCTATTTCGTTAAAAATTTAAATTCATAATCCTGGTACATGATTTAAAACATAATGCTATCAATAATAAAATAAACAAACTTTACAAAACAATATAATATAATAATATCTTTACTAACCATTAAATTTACAATGCCTGGACTCAATAATACAGTAGTAATACATCCATAATATCATAAAAAATATATAGCATTTTGCATAATTCAATGCATGTATACTTTAATAATTATTTAAACAACTATTAATGTGGACATGTTAAAATGAAATGAGAATATTTCAAAAAAATGAAATGGTACACACTAAAATAAATACGAGATGAAAAATATGTTAACAATTCAATTTTTTATGGAGGATGATTAATTGCAAGTGATTATATTAAAGGTTTCCTAAAAACTTCATCTTGTCCTCAATCTCAACATTGATATTAGTGAGCCTTTGCAAATTTTCTTTTGCCTTCACTCTCATAGCATTTGCTTTAGAAAGATGAGGAAAGCTTTGCAAAGTCTCAGCTTTCTCTGCAGTTTTGTCTGCATCTTCGGAGAAAAATTCAATCTCTAGCTCCAGCTTGTATTTTTTAAATTTCAATCCATCTATATCGGTCTCTATCAACTTTCTTTTTGAAGACTTTTGCCTCTTCTCTTCCTCAGTTTTTTTTGCTATCTAAATATTCACTGTAAAGCTTTCTTCCTTATTGAGTGGCAGCCTGAAGTTCTTTGGTCACAAAAATACTAACAAGGCCTCCCACATGTTCAAGATGGTATTTTATAATGTGTTTGCTTACTAAAAACCTTCTCAGATATGTTATCCCGGTTCACTGAAAATAATGAATAACACAGGCAATCAAGTCTTCCTTCAGCCTTACTAAATGTTGCCATTTCCTGGAATTGCCTGTTACACTCCAGGAAGACTCTAAATACAGAAAGTATTTCATCACATTCATTTAAATGTGCTCTTTTAAGAGACACTAAAATGTTAAGGACATGTCTAAATTTAGACAGGTTATAGTCAATTTCTTTGCTGCAAATTTGTTCTGGGTCCAGGCAACTCGTGTCTAGCTAAATTATAATTTAGGGGAGACTTTACTGTTACTTTTTCTATTAGAATCGCAATCATCTCTCTGTACTGCAATTTAAGTTCCAAAACTCCTTTATCACTAATTATTTCTTTACTTTTGCTTCCTTGAGAAGCCCTTCGGCAACAAAACCAATCTCAATTCCTGAATAATTTTTTAATACTTTATCTGATTTCCTTTCAACTTTGAGTAATTTTTCAACAGTATTTGCTTCATTTGTTTTGGGTTGTATAAAACGAGACATAAGCCCTCTCAAAAGTTTTTCTAAATCTTTTGCCATGAAAGGCAACATTGGCTTCTCACCTTGATATATAGTAAAGAAACGTTCTCTAGGTCTTGCAATACTTATTATAAAGGCAAGTCTAGTCCTTAATATAGGGTTATTGATCCAGTCTCTAACTATTTCATAAGACTTGGTCGATGGATTCTTCAATTCCCATTTTTCTACTTTTGCGACATATTCCAACATAAAGAGAAATATATCCAAAGCCCTCTGTCATGCTGCTGCATTCTTGACCCAACGATGGGAGCAGAAGTTCAGGGAATACATAAACTGTCCTGTTATTTTTTCATAATCTTCCCTGCAAGCTGGAGTGTCCTTAAAAAGAGTGTGCAGTGCCGACAAAACCTGGGATACTCCACTATGAGTAGAATCAATAGCTGCCTTGAAACTTTGTGCAGTATATGAAGTCCACAAGATCTAATGTCAATTAGATGATTTCGGAAATTCATACTTATTTTTTATTGCATTTTTTTTAAATATGGCCCAGCAAGGAAGTAAAATAAGGGGCAATGCCAAATCATTACATGTACATAATTTTGGTTTCCCCTAAGCTCATTGATTTTGCTATTTCACAATTCGGAAAATCCTTTCGAATAGTGGCACAATGTCCACTTGCGAAGAAAATGAATAGTTTGAACAGACATATTTTAACATCCATAAAATTTGGAGACAGTGGAGCAATAATTAACAGAGGAACAGGCTTCTTTTCAATGTAAAACTTTGTCCAACACCAGCAACATCATTCCTACTCTCTTAAATGCCAGTGAATCATGTAGGACGATGAAGAAGAAAGGCCCCAAAAAAGCTTGCTGAAAATTATTGGAGTCCCTTCTCAATTGGGTGAATAAGGAAGTCAGAAGAAGGAGCAGCACATCATTATTTCTAAGCACTATAAAGAAACCTAAAAAAGAAAGTTGCCGTTCATAGAATGGCTTTGCAGGGCATATTCTATTCTTCCACAGTTTGGCACTTAGCTAAGCTGCAATACAATTTTCAGTAGAAAAAGAAACGACCTACAAGGAGATTTTCGGAAAGGACATGGAGAAATTGAGTGGCAGACTGGGAGAAGTGGCGATCAAATGTTATCTTATGATAAAAGTGTGACTGCGAGAGGCAGTATATTGACAAATTTTTAGACATAGCATAGCCATCTGTACCGACTAAATCAATGGAGTTCATAAGACCTGAAAAGGTACAGGTAGTGGTAGTCTTTTCATTTGTAAACTCACTATATGAATTATTTTCATGCGTTTACCCAAAAGTCTTTGTTAATAACACTGACCTATCCAATTGTCTGACGTTATGCAACCCTGTTCCCCTCAAATTACTTGTTCATGTTATTTTAGGCATGTTCTGATTATTCCGAGTATTCCCTTATAGTTCAAATGGTTTATTTAATTTCAAGTGTCCAATATTGTTGGAAAAGGAGAGTAATTAATTAAATAATTAATAACAAGACAGAATTTAAATAAAAATATAGCTTACTAGCTCTACATAGTTATTAAAATATAATTTATTGTTATGTTTTCAAATGAATTAACTAGGCTCTAAATTATTTTTGTCTATGTTGGTTCAGTGCACCACTTTGATTTTCTGTGTAGAATTCTCTCCCTTTTGTTTATTCTTGGATTGTTACTAGAGTTGAACTTATCTTTTTCACTTTCTCACCACAGTGTACATGTGTTTTGGTTGAGGGAAGGGAGCGACCGGAGGTCATTGATACTTGCTGCATATCCAGAGGAATACAATAAAGTTGCTACTTTTGCAACGAAATTAATGTACCAGCTGAAAATATTTCATTAAATTTTAATGTTTTGTTCCTATTTTTCTTCATTTCTCTCTGTAAGTAGCTAAAACAACACATTCTCTCTTTCCCCTCCCCATTTTACCAGTCGTGTGTTTGCACTCCTCCTTTTTTTGGGCGGCCATCATGACAACCAAGTTGACGACCATGGGAAAAAAGCGACGCGTCAAACCAACATTCACCTTATTTTTTTATTAAGAATTATAGTTAAATACTGTTAATTAGGGCTAATCATGAATGAGATTGTGTTGCTTTTAAATTTATATAATATACTAACTATAGGACTAGGCCTAGCACTTTAGGCTACTTACTTTTTTAGGCAAAGTAATAGTAATACTGCTATTCTAACATTCTAACTATAATAATATATAAATATAAATCGAAGTGACTGGATGGAGCGAGCTGAGCCCTACAAAGCAGCCCTAAAAATAATTGCACCTTCTCAGAGCTCAGTATGGGTATTAACACACAAAATAAACAAAGCTGAGACTGCGCATTGTTCTCTCACTTCAATTTCAATCTTCATCTTAGGTTTTTTCGCATCTCAGTGATAGCCAACAATAAAATTGTGTAGACAGAAACATTGCCATCTACCCATGCCATAGCATTCCTAGTCTAGAACTAGGATGCTTTGCTTTGCGTATTACCCATCGCATAATATGCATAGGCATCACATACCCAAAGCCCAAATAAATATTTAAAATCACCATTTTGATTGTAGACCTGCAGTTGCAGTATCAAATCATTGTTATTATATTTTTGCACTTAAATGTATTTAGTTATTTATGGAGATACATAATTAAATAACAATAGGAACATTTTAAAGCCTTATGTTAAATTCTAATAAATTATGATGTGGACATTAACTTTGTCAAACCGGTTACCGGCTCGGAGTTTACATCTTTTTTAGTTTTTTGGTATAATAAATGTATATATTACCTTTGTGACACTTCGTCATAAATGTTTCATTCATATTTTTTACTGGTTAACATTAATGTTCATAAGATTAGTTTAAAATAATTCATAATGATCATAAATTAGAACTGGAACCCACATTTTAAGATAAAGAGTATGGGATACAACATGATACTAAGAATTGCTAGTAACTCACCGCCATGTTGTTCACCATAATATTAATATTAAAATTGTGAATTCAACAGGCCGCTTCGTTTGTCATGCAACGAATCAATGTTTTAAAATGTGTTAGTCAAATTGCCACTTCCCCGGCACTTTAACAAAAATATAATCTGCATGGACAGTGTACATTGAAATTTCAACTGATCTTCTGCTGATATCCTGTGCATCATTTGCTTTTCATTGCCATTCAATGCCCGTGCAGCGCATGCACGATGAGTAGGGCGGTGCGAAAATACCTTTGCCCTTGCCTTACGACAAATTACGATCGACACGTCGACACTTTTTTAAAGCAAAACTTTGTCTAAAGTGTTATAAAGTAAAGGAAATAAATACATGGAATCTATTTGGACTTATTTGGGCGTCCATTAATTACGTCAACAAAATAGGGGGGGGGGGTGGGGTGGAAATGTTTGACATTTGTTGACAAGAGGCAGGGATTGGGAAGGGGGGGGGGGGGGATTTGTTGACGTCACCAATCATGTTTTCTCTTTTAAAATTTTAATCTGAAAAATTGACTGGTTATTACATTATTTTTAAAAATTTGTAAGTGTAAATTAGTGTAAATAGTCATATAATGTGTAGGCTTTTAACAATATAAGATCTATTTAATGTGTGTCTGTGCACTGTACATAGCTGGTCAGAATGTTAGTTGTTTGCACACTTCGTTAGTGCAAGAGAAGTCAAAAGTTGGCCTCTCTTCACCTGTAGATTCTGTTGCAGGTATGGAACAAGGACAAGGTTCAAGTGTCATGTGCCTTCAAGATAAATGATATTGATAGAGTAGGAATACGATATTTTGAGAATTAGTTGAATATAAGGTGAGTAACAATAATAACATTGCTGCCTGAACGGATTTGAAATCCGAAACATCTATTGTGCATCACAAGCATATCCAACAGCACCGACAATGCCCTCTTGAGCATGAGAAATCAGCAACTGCTCCCCAACAAAAAAGGATTCGACCAATGCGAGTAGCTGCAAGGAGATAGAGAGAGCTTTATTGGCAATTATTGCTCACACCGACATTGCTTCTATTTTAAGTGCTGAGCGGTTAGATGATGATGTTGAATTGTTTTTTATATCAGTGCCACAAGATGAAAATTATAAATAAGCTACTATAGACTGTGCCCATCAGGGGCGTAATGTCATGTTTTATTCAAGGGTGGGGGGGGGGGTCAAGCCCAAAACTTGGTCGGCTGGTTAAGTTGTTATTACGGGGGCGCCACAGTAAATAGCATTTTAATAAAAGCTGCAAATTAAGGGGTGGAGGCCAATGTCTCCTTCCCTACCATGGTGGGTGGGGGGGGGGGGGGTGACCAGGCCCAAAACTTGGTCGGCTTGTTAGTTGTTATTACGGAGGCGCCACAGTAAATAGCATTTTAATAAAAGCTGCAAATTAAGGGGTGGAGGCCAATGTCTCCTTCCCTACCCAAATGATGTCCCTGATGCCCGTTGTTACGATGGAGCAAACCTGGCTACTCCTTTGGAAGATGATAGCAGATAGAAACTATAGCCTATTATAATTTGTCAGCTTTACTGACAACAATCATATTTATACCACAAAAAATGATATTTTGTCTTTAAAAAACTTTAAATTGATTCTGCATTACAAAGTTTAAGTGTAAAAACATTTTAACTTGTTGATTAGCAAGCTGAAGATGTAATGAAAAGGTTTTTTCCTACAATTTTGTGTCATTAAAATAGATCAGCACAAAGTAAAATGAATAAGTAAATTTATTTATATTATAATTCTTTTTTTTTTCTTTTTTTTTGGGGTGGGGTGTAAAAAATGTTGACATAATTAAATTGGGGGGGGGGAGGTGAAAGTTTGACAGTTGTTGACAGGGGAGGGTGGAGTCAAAATTGCTTAAAAATTGTTGACGTAATTAATGGACGACCCCTTTACAGTGGTGTGGTCATATTTATTGTCATTATGGAAGGTTACAACATAGGTCTGGGGGCATCCATGATCCTTCTCTTGTGTTTAACTCAGCTCTGTCATGAACCCGAATCAACTGAGCTCTATTAACTATCAAATTTGCAATTCCATAGCTGTTATCATCGCTTCCTTCCCTTTCGTCTGAAAAGTACATTGAAATGAAATGTAGTATTTACATAACCACCAAAAAAAAAAAAAAAGAAGAAGAAGATTTTTGTCCATACCCCCTCAAAGTACCATCCAACGCGGTCACCCCTTCACCCTCCCTAGATTCGCCACTGCCTCTGCTTAAATACTAATGAATTTTTCATCCCACTCCATTTTATTAAATTTACAGACAATTGTGATGTCAGAGTAAAAATTTGTCCCGGGTAGAAGAGGCTAGTACTCGCTGTCCGCGGCTTCCCCACTCCCACTGGAAGATGTATTTATATTCCACGAGATATTAAACAATTTTTCATAATTGCCAATAATTGACATAAACACTTTTTCTCTCCCTATCTTGGCTTTAAAGTCGCCAATCACTATTTTAATAGGTTGTGGTGCCTCTTCGTAGATCTTTCCCAGTGTCTCATAAGAATATTCTTTTACGAAGTGGCTTTTCGTACCCAGGCACCAGAAGTGAGAGGTTGGGATTAAAAAAAAAAAAAAAAATTAAATATAATTGCTGGGTTTTTAAGACAGAATGAGGTCTCAAATGAAAGATAATGCATTAACATTTTGTTAAAAAGAATTTACTTCATCGTACAACATTAACATTGGTTTAATGCATTTTGTGAATGTGGCATAATTGTAGGCCACGCTATTATTACGAAACCATGTTTAGCGCCTAATGTGGGACATTGACTTCGGGGTTAGAGAATTGTAAGCCTCTAAATCCCCGCGTAGAATACTTAAATATTGGAAACTACTAAGTCTGCTTTTGGTTCAAGTCCCATTATATATTTCTTGGAAACCCTAGTGTATTAAGTTATAGATTATATCTTATAGTTGTAAAGGAGATTTAATTCGCTATAATTTGGTATATTTACAAATTTACATCTTTAGAGGGTATTGTTACTAGTATTGTAAAATTCACAAATACTGGAATTTTCACCTTCATCCTCAGTGGTCCCAACCCCTTCTATTTAAATTTAAAATATCTTAAACCCATTTAACTCATAGAAATATAAGATAGCATCTTAGATAGCCGAGACTAAACTGAGAAGGACAGATTTAAGTCTTTAGGGGGTTTCGTCCGGAATTTAAATTTTACTTGGGTTGAAGTCGCTAAGGCATTGTTAATTTACCCCAGGGAATGTGCCAGACTGCAAGTAAGAGACTGTTTCAGTTGTCGCGTGACGTAGATGCTAAATAAAATGAGTAAAACAGAGTATGGTTAAACCTGAAAAATTAAACGCAACAAAACAGCGAACGTGTCGGCAGAAAGCCTTCGTCAGCGAACAAAACAACAGAAAAAACGGTATAAAAATAAGAAATAGCACTTAGCTGGTAAGTAGTATCTGTGGGCAGCAATAGAAGTGTGGCAGAAGGAAAATGAGTGAGAGTTTAAATAAGCAGCGGCGAAAAAAAGGGGGGAGAAAAAAGTTCACTGTGATAGGTCAGAACGTGGAGGGGCGGAGCTAGGGTCAAGCTGTGAACAGAGACATAACATTAATCCCATCTGGCGTCAAAGTGCCGTAAGTCAGGATAAGTCTGTGTTCCAAATTGACCCGGCTGGCGGTGTTAGTGCTAGCCACAATCGCACTTATTGAAAAGTCCGCCTTGCCCCGGTGGTCGCTACTATTGAAGTGTTTGGAGACGGGACACTGTTTATCTTGTGTAATGTTTCGGAGGTGTTCGGTACACCTGTCCGAGAGACGGCGTCCAGTCTCCCCTATGTATGTCATCTGACAGCGGGTGCAGACAATGGCGTAGATAACGTTGCGGCTTGTACAGAGGAAACCGTCGCGTATCTGAAAACTGCCCTTGGGGAAACGTATGCGTTCAGTCTGGACGACAAAAGGGCACGTGTTGCAACGACTGCGTCCACACGGCTTGGTCCCAAAGTGGGAGGGGGGAGCATTGATACGACTGCGTACAAGCAGGTCTCTCAGATTTTTATCCCGTCTGAAAACAATGAGAGGTGGGGAAGAGAAAATTTCTCGTGTGTCGGTGTCTGCGAGTAGTATAGATCGATGTTTAAGGAAAACACGTTTAGCAATCAGATTGTGAGGGTGATAAGTTAAAATGAGTTTTGTCCTGTCAACATTGTCGCTCAGACGTGGTCTGAAGGCATCAGCACGTGTAATATTCTTAACCCTTTGGAGGGCTGATGAAAGTACTGTCTCCGGGTAAGACCTACACCGGAAAAAGTCTATCATTTCAAGTGCCTTGTCCCAAAAGTCCTCATCCGACCGACAAAGTCGACGAAGACGAAGTAATTGAGAGAAAGGAATAGAGTCCTTACAGGATTTAGGGTGGGATGAAGAGTAGAGTAGATAGCTATGGCTGTCAGTGGGCTTAAAGTAGGCAGAGGTGTGTAGGGTGTCTTTGTGAAGAGTGACTGTAATGTCTAAGAAATTGACTGAGGTCTCAGAGATAAGAGATGTGAATTTAATGGAGGGGTGAAAGGAGCCTACAAAGTTAATGAACAGGTCAAGTTCACTCCTCTCCATAGTGGTGACCCCTATACCATCATCTATGTACCTCTTATAGAATTCAGGGAGGCGTCCAGTATAGCTGCTTTCGACCAAGTGTTCGAAATGCCCCATGAACAAGCAAGCATAGCTGGGTCCCATTTTAGTCCCCATAGCAACACCACTGATTTGGTCAAAGAATTGGCCACCAAACTCAAACGAATTGAGGGTGAGGACTAGTTCAGCCAATCTGAGGAGGGTGTTGGTGGGTATAGATGGGTGGGGTCTAGTCTCGAGAAAGAATTTGAGAGCTAAGAGACCGTCAGTGTGGGGGATGGAAGTGTATAGAGAACATACATCAAGAAGAAATAGATGATGTTTCTTTTCAGGAGGGATTATGATGGATTCAAAGGTTTGAAGAGCATGGTTGGTGTCCTTAATGTAAGTAGGCAGTGAGGCAACGATGGGTTGAAAAACTCCATCAAGGAATTCCGAGATATGTTCGGTGGGGCAAGAGCATGCTGAGACAATGGGTCTGCCAGGGTTACCATACTTATGAATTTTGGGAAGTAGGTAGAAGCATGGCTTACCGAGGTCACTATCGAAGATGTGTAGGGCA